TGTTCTAATTACCATCCTTTTACTTAGCAGTTGAAAGTATAACCACTGTGTCACCAGGGCTCCTTATGAACAAACCTACAGAACAAATCTGTCTTGGAAGAGGTATAGCTGGAATGCTCCTTAGAAGCAAGAATGGCCAGACTTTGTCTTTCGTATTTTGAACATGTTATCAGGAGGGACTAGTCCCTGGAGAAAGACGTCATGCTTGGTAAAGTAGATCATCAGCGAAAAAGAGGAAGGCTCTCAACAAGATGGGCTGGCACAGTGGCTGCAGCAGTAGACTCAAGCGTAGCAGTGATTGTGAGCCCTGTAGCAGGATTGGTCATTGTTTCGGTCTGTTGTGCATTAAGTTCCTGTAAGCTGGAACTGACTCGGCACTAACAACAACAACAGAAGTTTGTTTCCTGAACACATTATCTGAAGAGACGTTGCATTTTAACACATTTCCTCCATTGTACTCACTGCATTGCATATTCTTTTGGGGGCTAGGAGCTTATAGTATGGAGTTTGGGGTCTTTTGTTTTCCTTGGATGCTTTTCTGCATGGCAGCTCCTCCCTCAACAGCCAGGTGCCCAGTGGTGGTAGTGGGTGGAGCTTGTGAGGCATCAGGTACCACACTCATAGGTAACAGAATGCTCATCAGATCCGACTGGGCTCCCTCCACAGCTATAAGGTTGCCTGCCTGCTGCACAGAAATGACGAAGGACAAAAGCTGCCCAGGGTAGGTGGGATGTACCAGCTTCCATCTGGTGTTACTTCCTCTGTTGTTATGAAGAAATCCTTTCCTAGTTCCACTATGAAATGAGTCTCTGATTTCTATGCAAGTGAGAAATCAAACCTTTTGTGTTTATGGGATCAAACAGATGGATTTCTGTTGTCATTTGGTTCCTAGTGACGTGGGACCAAGAACAAGGCAGACTGCCAAAAGCCTAGGTATTAAAGAAAGGGAAAACTCTTGTGATATGTTTGGTTTGCTGTATCAATTACATATGATCCCTTTCAAAACCATAGTGTTCTGTAATTTTCAGATGATAGTTTTCCTAACTTCACCTTAATACTACCTCTCATTTACTAACGTGGTTTTACATGGCATGGGGTGATGACCATAATTTGTATTCTTGATTATATATTTCAATATGCTATATTTAGCATATATATTAAATCATTTTTAAAATACTTACTTGAAAATAAAGATCATGAAAAAATGTCTATATTACTATTCTGAAAATAATGTTTTTTCTAACACTTAATTGTTTAACCTACAGTGGTATAGATCTAGCACCTTAAATATCTGCTGGGTATTCTCACCTCTCTGTTGTCACGGGCACATGCTTCATTGACAATGGCAGATGCTTAAGTGGTCACCTAGAATGTCGGATACAGAGGAGGTGCAGAAACTTGCCTCATTTCACCCCTAGAGTAAAATCCCTTTACTCACGAATTCACATTCTTTTTAACCATAAGATTTCATTTTGCTTCTCTTTATTTCAGTGAGATATAGACAACATTTTTGATAGTTTTTAATATCGTTCAAATTTAAACTTTATCTTATATTAAAAAAACCAAAACCAAACTCACTGCTGTAGAGTCAGATCTGACTCATAGCCACCCCTCCTTGGGTTTCTGAGGTATCACTACAGAAGTAGATTGCCCAACCTTCCTTCTGAGGAGTGGCTGGTGGGTTTGAACCACCAGCCTTCTAGTTAGCAGTCAGATGCCTTAGGCACTATATTATATTATTTTAGGTATTTTTTTCCTTCTGATATGAAGTATATAGGTGGGCAACCAGAAAAAAGTTTTTCTGGAACTTGAGGACCTAACCAGGTTACTTAGTTAACACTCTGCTGCCTAACATTTATAGCTGACTATGAATTTGTGCCTGGAAAGCAACCATGATTACCTGAAAAACTTAACAAACCATGATTACCTGAAAACCATGATTACCTCAAAAATTTAACAAAAGCCAGATTATACCTGAATTATACAGATTTGGGGTGAAGGGGGTTTGAAAGTGCCTAGTTAAGAATTAAGCTGCCCTCTGTCACTTTCGACACTTTGCTTAATAATCTTGCAGTTCTTGCCTTTCTTCTATCAATATTTAAACAAGGGAAACCATCCAAAGCTCTGTGCCAAAAGCAGTAGCTGTACAGAATATATTTCAGTTACAAAACCAGTAGAGCTATCCAGAAACCTAAGCATATAGTTTTCTTTAGAATTGGCCCTAGAGACAACAACCTAATTCTAGTGGCTGACATTTATTGAGGGTTTGATATAGGGCAAACACTGTTCTGTGTATTCAACATGTATTTACTCTTTCAATTATCATAACTATGCATGCAAGCTTGCTTTTGTTATTATTCCTTTTATGCTGATTGAGATACTGAGGTATTAAAAGAATAGGTAAATCACCTCATGTCACAAAGCTAGTAAATGATGGCAGTAGGATCCATTACTCAGATCAGACTCACTGCCATCAAGACAATTCTGACTCATAGCAACCCCCTTTTGGTTTCTGAGGTGGTAAATCTTTACGGAAGTTGATTGCCCAGTCTTCCTTCTGCAGACTGGCTGGTAGGTTTGAATCGCCAGCCTTCTGGTTAGCAGTCAAATGCCTTAGGTACTTTGCCGCCAGAGCTCCTTGGTAGGGTCTGTAGTAACATGATAATCCAAAAGCTAAAACCAAACTCACTTTGAATGGTAACAGATTTTAAAATTTAAAAAATAAATCTATTCCAACATTAACTTTTTTAAAATTTCTTTTACATTTTCTTCATTAAGTACTCAAATTACAGAAGTAATACATGTTTATTGATACAAATAGCATACACATGTACAAAAAAGACCTTAAGCTTTTCATATTCACTTTCTAAACCTACTCTTCTGGTTTGTATTCTACATTATTTTCATGTTTAAGCAAGCACACTTACAATTTCCCACATGTGTACATATTTTTGAATAAAAATAAAATGTACTATAAACAGTGCTCTGAAACTTGATATTTCATGAGATCACCTATCATAGAACTCACTCCAGGCCAATAGCATTGGGCAGGTGTGCAATGTTTCATATGATGAATGAACTGTAATTTATTCATGCTATTGATGGATGTTCAGATAAGTGAATGACAAATTGCTTAAGTGTTTGAAATAGACACCTGACAGGAAGTATGAAATGAACCAGGTGTTTTTGCCAAAGTATAGTCTGATTATGAAGATGTTCATCCTGTAGTTTCTTAAAGATAATTGATGAAAATTGTGCCTGGCTACATGCCAGTGCACATCTCTTAAATATCAACTCAGAGAATGTAGTTGATCTCTTCATGTTTGTCTCTGGGTTGGATTATCAGTTTACAATTTTTGAAGGAAACCAGAGGAACTTAGAAAATGTAAAAGTTAAAATATCCATATCATTATTGTTATGTGCCGTCGAGTCGAACCTGACTCATAGTGACCCCCCCTTGAGTTTCTGAGGCAGTATTACTACGGAAGTAGATTGCTTCATCTTCCTTCCGAGGAGTGTCTGGTGGATTTGAACCTCCAGCCTTCTGGGTAGCAGTCAGGTGCCTTAGGCACTATGCTATCAGAGCTCCCATATAACTTAAATATTTTGCTGATGGAAGAAAACCACTATATCATAGCATTCCTAAACTTTGGATTAGAAAGGAAAAGCAAAAACAAACAGAATAGAGAGCCAACTCTGAATAAACACATTGCCCAAGATAATCTCTATAAGAACGTGCTTTCTGTGGCTGGTGCAACAGCAGTTGACAGTATACAAGAAACATGAAACCCCACATCTGTGGTGCCAATTGCTGCTTCCTGTAGAAGGAAGCCACCCAGGTGCCTCTTGACCATAGAGGGCTATTCCTTAAATATATTAATGTTGCCTCTTCATAGAGGCCTGAAAGAGTTTGGGTTTGTTTATTTTAAAGCAAAGCAGTTATTGTACAACAGTTAGAACTTCTGTACCTCTGAAAAGTGAGTCCTTCTTATTTCTTAAGAACAGCCAGCTTAAGTCATGACCCCTGACATTTCCTACTTCTAGAAGTGAAGCAAATGTCTTAATGGACAGTGTTCTATAAGGCTGCATGGTGACATTCAGTACTGTCCCACCATGAATTGAGAACTTACAAAGGAAATAGCACATTATTCTAACAATCATCATGCACTGATGGAACCCAGCAAAACTGAAATGGTGACCCTGACTCTATCCACATATTGAATGTCTAAAAGAAGTTTCACATTTAATTTATTTATTCTTTGTTTAGTGCAAAACAGTATGCCATTGACAACAGTGTAGTCAATTGAGAATGTGAGTTTTAGTACTAATTCTCTGATTCATTGATTGATTCTGAACTTTCTAGAATAAAGGGCTATATCCAATTGCATGGCATTTTCAAACCATTTGATTTATTAATATGGCAACTTTAAATCTTATATTTATATGCACTAGCTCCAATATGTATGATACTTGTAAAGATAAATTATATCTACCCAGAAACAAACACTGTCCATGATATACTAATTATAATAGCCATACTTTAAACATACACCAGTTAGGATGGAATTAAGAATTTGTTGTTATAACTTGAACATTTTGAGACATTTTGGGTCCATGTAATCATTCTCTTCAAAGCTAGTTCCATTTCAAAGTAATTTATGTAATGTTTTTAACAAAATAATTTAATTTTTGTTCCTTTAAAAAAAAATGTTGATATTATGATGCTGAAATATTCTGGTTGTAAGACTAATGATTTTATAATAGCAAAAAGACACAAAGAAGCATAAGATAGTTTTATATAGTTGTTAGGTTCCGTCAAATTGTCTCCAACTCATAGCGACCTATGTACAACAGAACAAAACACTGCCCAGTCCTCTGCCAGCCTCACAATCCTTGCTATACCGGATCCCATCATTGCAGCCCCCCTGTCAATACATTGTTTCAGTGCAATTCATAAAGTTTTCCAGTAATATATCACAGTGTTTCACTGCTATTAGTAAGGTTTTCACTGGCCAATTCTTTGGGAAGTGGATGGCCTCTTCCGTCTTCCAAGCCGGTCTTACTTTGGAAGCTCTGCTGAAACCTGTCCACCGCAGGTGATCCTGCTGGCATTTGAAATACTGGTGACATAGCTGCCAGTCTCATAACAACACACAAGCCATTACAGTCTGACAAACTGACAGACAAGTGGTAGTTTATAGAATATAAAATTTTAATTGTTTTTTTTAGAAACATTCATATCTGCTGAGACAAGCAATAAAGATTTTAAGTGTTGTAAATGTATTTGGAATTAATTCAACATAGATTTCTTTAGTTTTTACCTTTTGTAAGCCTCTTGAATTCCATAAGAAGATTCAAAAATAAATAAAACACGATTCTGGCTTTCCTAAATTTTTAGCTTAATAACTAAGACTGAGATTTCTTGTTGCTGTTGTGTGTTGTGCTGTCAATTCCAATGCATACGGACCCTACTGGACAGAGTAGAACCATCCCACAGGGTTCCCAAGGCTGTAATCTTTAAGGGTGTAAACTGTCACATCTGTGTCTCATGGAGCAGCTGGTGGGTTTGAACCACTGACTGTTCAGTTAGCAGTTGAGCTCTTTAACCACTGTGCTACCAGGGCTCCTTAGTAAAAAATGTTAGCTAGAGTTAAATGCAAGTCCTTTAAAATTGCCTTTTTTTTTTTTTTTAACAACTGTCAAAACTAAGAGTGTGTGTCT